ATCCCAATCCTATCCCATTCCAATCCCACCTGAGATCAAAGCAAAGCTGAGGGCACAGCCCTGCTCCTTCCCACCTGCTTGGTCAATCTCTGCCTCCACCTCCAGCTTCAGGTAAACGTCCTCCAGCGTGGTCATGGACACACCATAGGTGATGACCCCCAGGTGGGAATGGGTGTCCAGGTCAGAGAACAAAGCTAGGGACAGAGGCAGCTCTGAAACTCTGCTCCAGCACCTGCCAGGAGCTCTTCAGGCACATCACACACCCCCTAAACCTCCTGAATGCTGGGAAAATCAGGAATGTGGGAGCAGCAAATAAACCAGAAAGCTGTGGTTTGAGAACCAAGGTGGGGCAGGCTCCTTTGAGCATGAAATTTCAGGCTCTGTGGTCAGGAAATGTGGTTTTGCTGAAGCTGTGCTGCTTCTAAAAACTGGCTCAGCATCCTGAAGCTGCTGGGCTCAAAGTTTCCTCAGGGCAGGTTCAAGGTGAGCTCTCCTGGAAAAATCATACCCAGGAGACAGCTTATCCTACCTAAATCCCTGCCCAGGCACAAAGGATCTTACACATAAAACCACTGAGTCACTTTATAGCTATAAAAATACACATTTTTTAATATATTAAAAAGAATTCCCAGGTGTTTAAGGCCAGGTTAAGCAGGCAGGAGATGCTGGACAAGGCACAGAGCTTGAAGACCAATGTGAGGTTCAGAGTGGGAGAACTTCACAGCATCTTGGGGTGAAAAATGTTACTGGGTTTTTGTCAATCCTATGAATTAGGACTTTAAAAAAAAGGAGCTTCAGAGCCAAAGTGAGGCTGAAGGGAAATTCAAATGTACAAAATGGGAGGAGCATTTGGATATTTGACAATACTCCTCAACCCTCCAGTTTCTCCTGTCCCAGACGACAATGTGTGTTCCCAACCTCAGCTCCCCCCTGAAATAGTTTGGGGGAATTGATTAAATCTCAGCCTTTTTGCAAAGCTCATAAATCATTAACCCCAATGCAACAGGGAAAAAAAAAACCTTTATGGAATATCAGCTGCGTGTTCCCATCAATATTGATGCTCCCTTGGCTTCCCACACTGGATTTATTCCATTTATTTCTGGGAGGAGAGCGAGGAGCCCTGGCCAGGACTGCTCAGATAATTGCTGCCATCTAGTGAAATCCTCCCCTCTGCTCCTTCTCTCCATGGAATTTCAAGGCAGTCACACGATGCTCTTTGCAGTTCACAAGAGTTTTTTGTAGGGTTTTTGAAGGATTTTTGTAGGATTTGGGGCTTTCCTGCATCCTGTTGCAGGCCAGCCCTGCTCTTTGAACAATCTGCAAGAGGATGGTGAATCTGCAGGACCAGGGGAAGCTCAGGTGGAAGGGACTCCTCACCCAGCTCTTGGGTTTTGGGCACCCACATCCCTCACACTTCACTGGAAGAGGTGACAAAACCCTCCCTCACCTGAGAAATCCCTCCTTGTCTCCCCACCAAATAATAATAAATATAAAACCATCAAACCACAACTGACACTTTATCAAGAACATCACCCTTAACAAACACCCCCTGTGGCAATCACTGCTCCCTGCAACACAAAACCCCACAAATACCTGCAAACTTGTCCATGTCCTTGAGAGGGAGGGTGTACACGAGCTGCTCATCGTTCTGCTGGATCAGGCTGGCTGCAGGGATGTGCTGCCTGATCAGAGACGTGGTGGCCTCTGTGTTGCAGTAGGCATCAATGTGCATGCTGGAAAAACACAGCAGGAGCTGGGGTTTAGAGCTTGGCAGGCTCCTGACACTGCAGCAAACATTCAGTTGTGCCANAGGCTGGACAGCAGGGAAAAGTGTTTGACAGAAAGGGGGATAAAGTTCTGGAATGTTCTGCCCGGGGAGGTGGTGGAGTCCCCATCCCTGGGTGTGTTTGACAAAGCCTGGATGTGGCACTGGGGGCCAGGGCTTGGGTGAGGGGCTGGGGCTGGGCTGGACTCAATGGGCTTGGAGGGCTCTGCCAACTTGTGTGATTCTGTAAATTCTGTGATTCTGTGATTTCTGAAACCCAGCCACTCCCCACCCCTCAGCCACATCCCTGAGTGCCACATCTCCCTGTCTTTTAAATCCCTCCTTGTCAGCATCCTGGAGTATTTTACACAAAATTCTCCATGCACAGCTCAAACAGCTGCTGGTTTCTACTGCCTGGGTTCCTGTTGGGCACTTTTAGAACATCCTCAGTTGAAACAAAAAGGGATTTTCCCAGATGTTTCCAGCAGGATTTTCATGGTGATTTATCTCAATGGTGATTTTATTCATTGGTGATTTATCTCAATGTTTCTGGCCACTTCTCTCACCTGAATCATCTGACACAGCAAGAACAAGGTCATGGAGATGGGAGGAGGATCTCCAAACCAAACCCCACAGCACAAACTGACAGTTTATCACCCTGGGCACTTGGAAACTCTTCATCTGGGTCAATTCCAAGGGAAAAGTTCATTCCCAACCCCAAAACCTGGGAGAAGGAGGGAGATGGAGGCAGGAGCTGCTGCCCTACCTGTGGAGTTCTGCAGCAGGAGCCGACTCCTGTACTTGTGACTGCTCTCTCCAGGCTTCAGCAAGTACAAATCTGGGGAGAGTTTGATAGCAGCTACAGCATTTTTGATGATGTGGTGTATGAAAAACAACAAAATCTGAACTACAAGGAAAATGAGGAAAAGCAACAACCTGAAAGAAATAAAAGTTTGGGGTTTGTTACAGTTCAGTGAAAGCCAACCCAGTTTTATGTGCATGCTATTAAAAAAACATCTCACTCACCCTCCAAAAAAACACTTATTGACAGAAATTACAGCTCCACACTTGCTGTTATTTAAATGGGGAAAAATGAAGGGCAGGATGTGCTTTCCCTGGTGCCATCCAGGCAGGATTTGGGGCTCTCACACAGAGGAGGAGCCCCAGTACTCACATAACTCTGACACATTTGTTCTCCCGTTTCAGGCTGAGGAAGTGCACTTTGGCTATGGTGGAGACCTGCTTCTTCCACAGGGCTGAGTTGCTCATGGCTGGTGCCTTGGCCTCGGAGAGCATCAGCAGGCTCTGCTCCATGTCATCCAGGGACTTGGTGTCCACCTCCTCCTGGGCTTGCTGCGAGTGGAACACGCTGTAATCTGCAACAGGGCAGGCAAACCCAGGGGGTGATCTCTGACAGATGGGGGGAATGGGGCAGCAGGGGGAGCCAGGGCCAGGAACCCCGTGCTCTGCCTGTTGTAGAAGTCACCTCACCCAT